ATTGGGCGTGTATGTTGCATAGGTCTTGTAGAAACTCTACAAAATAAGACCGGTATATGAGGCTCAACAACAAGTTTCCAGTGATGTACAAGTTTTGATGGTATGTGGGTATTTGGTATGGTATTCCCACACTGTGTGTCCTATATATGAAGCGTGCAATGTGGCGTATGTTTCTTGTCTGGGCGTATACACATTCGGTGTGTTCTACACTGTGCGGTGGTTTGACTCTAAGCACAATACAATTTATTGCAAGTTATTATTTTATATTAGATTTGTTTCATTCTGGTCCATCACACTAACAATTACAAATACAAATCACTCCGTCCAATATGACATATAAGCTTTGCTACATGAAAACCCATCAACCCTTACATGTTTCGGTCCTTATGGACCATCTTCGGAGGGAACATCATTATAAGCTGGAAACTACTATCACAACACCGCTAGCCACGAACAAACCCTGGACGACATTAAGAGCCTCCTTATCAAGATAGACAGCGGCACAAAATCTGCCCCATACAAGAAGGACGATAGGAGTACGGACACGAACCTACGTGGTTTATAAAAATTTTAACTGTTGACAACAAGTTTTTAGAAAACTTTACAGTACCAGGAAGCTGCTGTGATTGTGAAACGTTCGATTCTATGCGTACTGTGCATTATAGGATATGTGTATGTAATTAAATCAAAACACCTATTGTGATAGTAGTTTCCAGCTTGTAATGATGTTCCCTCCGAAGATGGTCCATAAGGACCGAAACATGTAAGGGTTGATGGTTTTTCATGTAGTAAAGCTTATATGTCACATTGGACGGAGTGATTTGTATTTGTATTATTTTATGCCTAATACAGGTTGGTCCTTCAATTATATATTCAAATTAAGATATCTCCAACATAATAAAGTTTTCGTTTTTATAGGGCTGCAAGAAGGATCCAACTACAAACATACATATTAAATTATCTTCTCCTCAAAGGTCTCATAATTTTGTATAATTTCCACACCATGATGGTTATACTAACATGTTCTGGAACTGACTATCTTAAATAAATGAAGTTAGGGAGTGACGTATAGTAATGTCGGTTAGAACTCTTACACAAACAGGACATAAAACTACGTATGAAATCCAGCTTTTCACTACCCTAACAATACCATGCAGCAATCTCAAGGCAATGTTCTAATTCAAGGTAATAAATCTATAGAACAAATGTGAAACCTCTGAATTCCCAAACTTGATCTATCTCACAAATTTCGATCAAACTCTGTACATCAGATCTACATTAAATATAAAGAAAGCAGTCTTCTGGGATGTGGCCCCATGTAGATGTGGTTTTAACTGATGTTTCGGAGGAATGTATCACCTCCATCTTCAGGGTAGAAGGAAAAATAAGAAATCCACAAGCGAAGAGACTGTGAGAACCGGTACAAGCAGACTGGTTTTGGAAATAAACACAGCTATGGGAGAGCAGTGAAGGAAGGGGGGGGGGCAAGTCTACTTGGGAAATCAGTGGAGTGGGAAGGGTGAAGGGGCTGGAAACAGAAGCAGGGTTTTGTATATGATATTGTGTCGGGGGTGAGAAATGTAAGGTTAAAGGGTGCCACATCCCAGAAGACTGCTTTCTTCATTGTCACCGCCATGAAAATCTCAAATCTTACACATTAAATATACTTTGAAAAAATGATCAGAGTTTGTATGCATTATTTAACTACATAATCCTTACAAATGTTTATTCATATTTTAGAAAAATTATACCCACTTCAGGGTGGTTCTGTGCACTGCACCATTTCCAACACTCGACTAAATGTGATTCATATGCATCTCACACTACTGTTCTTAAATTATGCATGATCCTTGAGATGAAAGGTAAGCTATCACTTACTCGTGGAGCTGAGCCCTTCTTGAGAAGCTGCCAATTGTGCAGCTACTCTAGAAATTCTCAGCATTTTATGGCACCTGATTGTTTATTACAGTGTTCACGAGAACCTTCCACTGGTCCCTATCCTGAGCTAGATCTATCCTGTCCTGTTCCTCCAAGATCCATTTTAATATTGTCCACACACCTATGTCTTGTTCTTTCCTTGATCTCTTTCCATCTGGCTTTCCCATCAATATCTCATATGTATTCATCTTCTCCCCTTTTGCGCTACATGCCCTGCCCATCTCATCCTCCTTGATTTGATCATTCTAATTATACTTGGAGAAGAGTACAAGTTATGAAGCTCCTCATTATGCAGGTTTCTCCAACCTCCCGTCACTTCATCTCTCTTCGATGTGAATATTCTCAACACCCTGTTCTCAAACACCCTCAGTCTATGTTCATCCCTTAATGTGTGAGACCAAGTTTCACACCCATACAGAACCACAGGAAAAATTATAGTTCCATATATTTTTATGTTTTTAGACAGCAGACGAGAAGATAAAAGGTTTTGGACTGAATGGTAGCAACCATTAATCGAGTTCAATCTCCTCTTAATTTCCTCCTGAATCAGGTTTTGATTTGTTATCGTCATTCCCAAATATCTGAACTGTGCCACGTTTTCAAAACATCTGCTACCTATAAAAGGTCAGCTCTCCCTTCTCTTAATTAATCAAGCACCATGCATGCCATGAAGATGATGGAGGAGTGGAGGTACATCTCCACCTTTCCTAACCTTGGCACGAGATGAATGTGAGTAGTCAGCTTCACACCTCTGCAGCTTTACCCCCTGGTTAAACAGCACCAGGAACCACTGAATGGAAGGCTAGGTGCACCCCAGCAACATTCAGGATGCTGCGGGGAAGAGAAGAATCTCCTGCCCTGCTGGGAATAGAACCCCACTCCTTGGCCAGTGCACAGCCCTAGTCACTATACCAATTGACTCATACATGATCCATGAGGGTGACTCATATGAACAACCCTCAAAACCAACAAACAAGAATTCATTACTGCTACATTTCACAGTGTCCTCCTATAGATCACAATGATTTACAACAGACATTTCTGTAGCTTCATGTTCATACAGTTTTGGCCCACTTTGCTCACTTCTGTGGGAGTAAATCAAACACCAGCACCAACAGAACTGACAAACAGCATTTATATATAAATGCCCTACTTTAGCAAAGGAATCAGGTCATAAGAGCAGACAAGATGTCTATATAAGGCTAAATTAAATTAATATAGTGTAACGTGTTGGCAAACCAGAGGAGTAACTTCTATGGAAACGCTGACACGTTACAATACTATGAATACAAGGGTATCTGAATCTAAAGCATAAGGAAAGAGAAGGGTTAAAACTGTATCACACAATAAAGTTTACATCACAGTCCCATCAATCTGATATAGAGAGCTTACTTAATTTCAGCTTCATGCATGCTGGACACTAACAAGGACAAAATATGGGGCAAAATCAGCTTTCAATTATTGTGAATAATTTGAAACAAGGCCTGATGTGAAACCATGTTTGAAACAGCTTCTATCCGCATATAAGTTATTATAAATTATTATTTCAGAAAGTCTTTCAAAAGTATATGGCCCAAATGGACAGGCCTTTACCCTGGTCAACACTGCACGCAACACAAAGCTTAACATTCAAATTTACTTCATCCAGTATATTGCAAACATTCATAAATTATATATTCCCCATCAAATGTATCTAAACACATACACACACACTCTGGACTCAGTGTTTCACAGGCTTTGAACTGCACTCACCAACCGAGTGACCCACCCACACAACCACTCTCACTCACTCTGAGTGTATGTAAATGATAAAACTGGCATCCAAGAGTTTTGTAATTACTTTCCCTTCTGCATGATGTAGATAAAAACAAATCTCTGAATATGCATTCCCCCATATGTCTTCATGGCACAGTGCTTAATTAATTAAGCATAAGGACAACTTTACCTTTTTGATGGATGCTTACAGTTCAGTTGGATTTCAGTAGTGATTTTTTAAAGTAGGAGACTCAGCAAGTGAAACACAAGCCTTTATCATAACTCCTATCTCTTAATACCATCTGATATACATAACAAAACTTTTCTCATCCAATCTCTGAGATATGGTCCACTGTTTTTTGTCTTTCTGAATGTATTACCACATAATCACATTTCAGTGTAAGACTCTGAAGGTGGCACGCCACCACATGCAACAACAGTTTCAATACATATGTAGTTCCTGAACCAACTGAGACCTACAGAGTCTAAAGATATTTATAGTGCAAAAATTGATATCAAAAGTATCTGGAAATATTGCTTACACCACAAATTCCACTGTGTTGACAGAACTGCTCCTATACACACACAGCAACGTCCCTAGTTATAAATATCAGCAATTTTTCATACTTAACAAATAATGAATTAATGTCTACTTAACATGATGAAAGTAAATAGCACAAATTATATTTTTTACACACTTACATAAACACATGAGCTTCATAACTTGTACTCTTCTCCAAGAATAATTAGAATGATCAGGTCAAGGAGGATGAGATGGGCAAGGCATGCAGCATGAACGGGGGAGAAAAGGAATGGATATAGGATATTGGTAGGAAAGCCAGGAGGAAAGAGCAAGATGTACGTGGGTGGGCAATATTAAAATGAATCTTAGAGGGATAGGATGGTATGGATTGGATTGATCTGGCTCAGGATAGGGACCAGTGGATATGAGCATGGTAATGAACCTTCGGGCTCCATAACATGCTGGGAACCTCTTGAGTAGCTGCACAATTGGCAGCTTCTCAAGAAGGGCTCAGCTCCATGAGTGAGTGAGTGACATAAATACATGATCAAGTAAAAAAAAAAAAAAAAAAGAAGAAAAAAGAAGTAAAGTTATTCCTGCGCCAGGCCACGAAGGCCCATAGGGTTGTGAGACGTTGAGGGTCCCACATTATCTAGACAATCAGCTCAAAGATGGCGGTAAGGTTGTCAGCCTTACGCGCTGGCCGCGCCTTACTCCCCAGGACAATTATTTAATTAATTCCTGGTACTCATTTCTGTTAGAGGCTGAGTAAACCCCAGGGCCTAGTGCGGCTGGAAGGATTAGGTCAACTGAAAAAAATCCAATGACCTCATCAGGATTAAGCATAGTATTCAAGAAATGTAATCTATATTTGATTAGGCAACAACTCTCCAAAAATCTTCAATATTTAGTTCGACAGTTTTAGAAACACTGTATAATTAAGGTGAAAATAAATTAAACCCAGGTTAAACACAGACTGAAATGGACTATGAATATACTTCAGAATTCCATTAAAGTGGTATTTTCACTTGGCTCACAAATGCATTAGTGTGGCTCCCAAGAATATTTTCAATTTCTACAAAGCATCCTCTTAAATTGAACATGTCTATAATGTAATGGAAGTATAATTTTGTTATGCACAAGAAAACCATCTATAATAATAAAATGGAACTGGGCCATGATACTTTAACACCAATTAACACATTCACTATCAAAGTACAACTATTCCAGTAATCAATACAAAAAATATAATTCATGGCAAATGCTTCATACCACAAATCCTGCCATTAATATATTCTTAGAATTTTGACTTTGTCACTGTAAGGATTCTTACAGCTTGGCAAGGACAATGTCTCTTTAACTGTATTGGTCACTTGTATCCATAAACCTTCTTCTTTATCCAGTAGATTGGAACTATCAGGGAAAGTACAGGTGGAGCAGTGAAATGGGCAATTCTAAAACCCAGTTTTCTAGTTACAAGGGTGGTGGTAGTGGGGATTGCTTCACCCAACATCCTCTTGTCCACATGATGCTATTTAACCATGGAACAGTGGAGTCATTAAATTCCCATCTTACAAGGTACAGACAATGCAAGAATTAACACCTTGGTAACTCCTTACCCATAAAATCTGTCAAGAAATGGTGACTTAAATGGGCTATGGCTATGACTTTATTCACAATCTATGGGCATCCAATGAGCCTCACTTTTATCTACATGGATTTGTGAATAAACAAAATTTTCATTATTGATCAGAAGAAAACACTTCCTAACTGCAGAGTGACCAGGTAACAATGAGGGGTGAAATTTATTTCACTGCATTACTGGCCCATAATTTGTTTAAGATGGTAATGGGAAGGAAACTGTGACATCATGACTGGGTAGGCCATCTCGTTTCAACTAGATGGCTCAAATTCAGATGTGCCAGGGCGTCAAACGGCACTATATGACTGCCTTCTCATATCATCGTCTCCAGGAATGCTAACATTCCTTGGCGTCCAACATCCCCAGAGCTTCCAGAAAGCAACTATTTTTTATGGGCGCACTTAAAATGCAAAGTGTACACTCACTGCCCATATCACATTGAAGAGTTGAAAGCAATAACTCATGAAAAAATTGCAGGAATTCCTATGGAGCTGCTACACCATGTCATGGGAAACGTGTGGAATGCCTGTGAATAGATGAAAGTCACTTTAAATGATACCATCTTCAGGAAATAAATGGCATGCTATGTGCTTTACTTGTAATCTGGCAGAAACAATTTCCTTATTTAATTACTGAGTTTTTAAAGTCACCCACTTGCCTACCCCACCCTATATATACACTTAAATTGTAACATTCTTTTAAGATTGATTAGTGCAAAATATTAATATACACTGCTGACGAAACACATCAATGAAATGTTGCTGGAATGTTTGCTCAAATGTTAAGGTATTACTATTATTCTAATTAGTGACTGTAAAACAAATAACAATTAAATGGGTTATAAAAGGGTTATAATATTTTTCATATGCATCATTGAGAGTGTCGAAGATGGTCCAAATTTTCCATAGTCGGTCATAACTGTCGGTATTCCTGTCAGTTTCTGTAATGTTGTCTGCAAAATGAAGAAAAGGAACGTGTAGAAAACGGTCGCGTTTCATTGTGCTAGAGTAGAAAGGCGTGGCAAATTGTTCTGCAATCAACCAGTAGTCCTTTAGTCTGTCTCTAATGTCATGTCCCATTTGAATGATTATTCCTAGAAACAGAAACATCTCGGAATCGGTCACGTCAGGCCGCGGAGAAGGTCCGTCTTGAAGTTTGTCTAGGTACTGGTGGTAGTACCTATTCGTCTCTTCCACCAGCAGATGGATAATCCCTGCGAAGTAGAGCATGAAAATGCAGAAAGGGGTGGAATCCTTATTTACGTGTGGAGCTTCATTGATATTTTACCCCACAGCTCCACCGGAATAATTATTCACACGCCTCCTGCCATGCTGGTGTGGTGGTCCCCAGGTTGCTGACGAAGATGATGGGTCTTCGTCGGCTTCAATTTCTGAATCTCTTTCTTCCTTGCCTCTCTCTGAGACGTCTGTAGCACAGTCAGAATCTGTATCATTGAGCAGCTGCCTCTCAATTTCATCTTCTTCCAAGCGAAACAAGGCCATGGTGGATGTCTTATTCACTACACAACGTGCTACGCCTGGAAGTTCTGGCAGTACTGTTTCTACAGTTCGGAGAACAGTATTGCTGTGTGGCTCATCTCAGATATAAACAGTCTGGTGTGTCAAGGACAGAATACGATAGCTTTGTCCACACTTGTGTATACAGAATGGGTCTAGTCACTTGGAATGTGCTTTATAAACATAACCTTCCAACCCACTTGCCAGATAAGATGGTACGAGAGTACGAATGATGTCAGCAGCAGGAATTTGTACAGCAGAAACATTTTGTGCAGAAACTGTATGCATATTTGTGGACATGTTCGAAATTGAGGGAAATTTTTTTGGAATCAGTGTAACAATTTTTACAGATTCTAAAATCTGTAAATTATAATATCTGATTCTATATTCTTTCTAGATAAAAGCAGCGTTTATTTCGTTAGTTTATCACAAAAATTGCAGAAATCACAGCATTTTCAGTAACATGATTATAATTTTTATTACTCTACAACTCCGGCCCGTGGCCATTACCGGAATTTAAATGGCCCGTCTCTTAAAGGTTAAACCCCATAATTTCCTCATAACTTACACTTGAAAGCCATACAGAACACAGTTTTTCAGTTACATTTAAGTATTATAAATTATGTATTGTAAGCAACAATACTCACGTTCCCATTTATTATTATTATTTTCATTAGAATGATGAAATTTGAGAATATGGGAACTGTTCCCAAAAATCTCTTCTGTTGTGTGACATGTGAGTAAATCACTGCTTTGCAGCAGCTCCCTTGTTTGATGATTTAAAAGCATGTTTGTTATTCCACTGCCTAGCAACGGACAATATTTAAGTAGTCATGTCACAATATGCTGTAAAGGAAAATGACTTCATGCTGCATAATCTACGAAACTTCCCCGTCGTTTCTTCTACAGTTACTGCCAGTATTTATGAAACACATTACTTTACATGCTTATCTTTACTCTTTGAAGTCATTATCAGAAATACAATTATGGAATCTAAAATAATCCTACATACAATTCACTAATAATTTAAAATGTACATTAAACAACAATTATTTCAATCTAATGAACAGAATAAAATATTTGTATTATTTAAACAGTACAATCTTCATAAGCACTGACAGTCACTGATGCAGATAACTGTACATGTACTTCAGTCAGTTAATAATAAAGCATAAACATGACAGGTTAATTTTATGTCAATGACACATCATAATGTCATAAAAGGAGAAGGATTTTTTTAATTTTATTTATAGTTATTGACAATCTGAAATATACATTTCTTTAAGCTAATGTGCTGACTAGTGTGCAGATTTACAGGAGGGAAGGAATGAGGACAAAAATAAACAAGAATATACAAAACATAAAATGGAAAAGAATATTACAGATCTAAGTTTCTCATTTGAAGGAAGGTTCCTATTTCTTCTTTACTTTGGAACTAAACTTGTGTAAATTCTGCAACCTCTGCAAAGAAGGGTTATGGTTTGTGAATCACTGCAATGAGTTTTCAGTTATTTACACGTCAAGCAACAGAAATGTTAATTATCTGACCGTCATTTTGTCTTATCAATAACAATTTAAAATGAGTATGACAGAATTTTAACTTTGCAACTAAAAGTAATTTTTGTCAATACAAAGATGACAATACTGGATGGCAGTAGTGTTTCTTTATTTCATGGCGTGGTCTCCTGGGTTGTGATACTCTGTAGTCTGGTGGGTGGTGACCACCTTCATACTACATGCTGCCATAACCCTGAAGACAAAACAAAATCTTCACCAATGAGAAGACCTCAAATCTCACATACATATCCCTTTGTTGTGTGATTATTTAAACAGCTAATTTTTAATACTCATACATTCAAACAAATCTGGGCAATCAGTGGTCTTGTCCTTTCATCTTTAAAAATGTTTTCATGACCCTAACCATGTCCATCCCCAGTTAGTTTGGATAATTAATCGTCTACACTGGTAAGGGAAGAGAAGAAGATAAATATGGAGGGGAGAGAGCAAAATTCGTACCTAACTTATATTAAATATAGATACAGCTTCAGTCAGGTGCAAGTTGAACAGTGCTACCAGACTTTTGGTGCCTATTAAATTCTCGAAGTGTCTCAAGAATACGGTCCATCTCAGCACGGTATAAGCAAAGCTGGCGATTCTTGTCAAGCAGCTTCTCCTTCATAGTTGTAGCACTTCTATTATCCCCTGTAACTGCGCGTTGCTCTGTGTTGCGTCGGAGCAGGTCACGCACCATTGCTTGTAGCTTCTGTTCACGAGCTTCATGTCTACGCTCTAGTTCAGACAATTTCTCTTGCAGCCCTTCATACTGAAGCATCTCCTGCACAACAGTAAAAAACTGCAACAGTTAACTGCCTACTGTCTGTGTGGCTTTCTCTAAGGGAAGGCCACAGATTCAAAGTAACTGATCTCAGGTTTCAGACAGCTCACTCTTGATGTCAATCAACAGTGACTCAAGGTGTCTGAGAACAAGGCACTGAGGGGAATATTTAGATCTACAAAGAGGAACTGACAGATGCACAGAGAAATTATATCATGAGGAGTTTCTGTTCACCTACTACTGTTAAGGTAACTAAATCAAGATTGATGATATGGACATGACATATAATATACAAGGGAGAAATCATGAATGACTAGTAAATTTCTGTTGGAAAATCTCAATAAATGAGACCATTCGACAGATTTTAACCTTTAATGTATGGACTTTTAAACTGCCAGCAGCCCTGTACGGCTGGAATTTAAATCACCCTAATTAATTATCATTGCAAACTTTCAGAAAAAAATGCATATTTTCCGTTCTATGCAACATAGAAATATGAACTAAAAAGAACCTGAAAGACAAAATTTTCTACATATACATAAAAGAGCAAGTTCTACAAATGAAAATTAACTGTGAATATTTTCTCATGAAATGCAAAATATAATCTTTATTAAATATGTTATGAAATTCGGATTTACCCATTGTTTTTCCTTCAACCTTGATTCATGGCGATATTGTAAATATAATCACACTATATACAATATTTTGTTCAGACTGTATGTGAGTTTGAACTGTGTCACTTCACAGTTTACGATAACTCACACTCTGATGCATGTGTGCCACTTCTTGAAGCAGTCCACCACACATAGTGCAACGTCACACTTTTTACAGTAGTAGAGCGTGCTTCTGCGCTTCTTATTCTGAGAATAAATATGTCTTTGTTTTCCTTTGGTTGGCCAGTGTTGTGAATGTTTCACCTCCAGTCGACTCAGTTGGGCCCCAGATGAACTTTGCCTCCCCCAAGAAATGCCACTGACCGTGAGATTCGCCTCATGTGACTGACGAAGCAAATCCCGCACCAATATTTCGCGGAACTTTTTGTGTGTCATTTTTCCAACACATGACTTGTGTAATAGATATGCATTTAGAATAGTCATATCTAGAAGGTGGAAAAACAATTTCTTTGTCCACTTCCATGTCCTCCTAGCAATGCCATAACTGCTTACCATCCTGTCAGATTTATCAACAAAGCCCATGTATGCATTATAGTCTTCAATTACATGGGGTTTGACAGCATGGCCAGATTCATCAGAACATACACATCACGCTTGTCTTTCCAACAAACAACACTTAGATGCCCCTTGACTCTTGTAACAATATCCCCTTTTTTCAATTTCACTGACTTCGGCCGAATTTCTTGTGGCATTCCACGCCTATCATTGCGAACGGTGCCACATTAATTTATTTTCCTGTCTAAAAGATCGTCAAATAAAGCAGGAGAACTGAAATAATTGTCCATGTAAATTTTGTGTCCCAAGCCTCCTACTCTACGAATTAGCTGGAGAACAATGCCATGTGTTGATGTAATTTCTTCTGCTGCAAGTTGCCTTTGTTTGCCCAAATAAACTGTCACGTCATAAGTATACCCCCAAAAATCGCAAACACTATGACTTCATCAAGAGCAAGACATTCTGCTGGATTGTAAAGTCCACAAAATTTGTTGTTGAGATTGTCAAAAATTTTTCTAACTTTCCAGAGCCTATCTATCATACTCTGGGTCATCTCGATTTGGAGGAGCTTCATTATTTTCAAAATGTAGGAATCTCAAAATATGGAAGAAATGGTCTCGTACCATGGTGTTATGGTAGAATGGAGTGTAGTATTGCTCATCTCTTGACCAATAATCTTTGAGGGTGTCCCGTTGATCATGGCCCATTTGAATAATTATTGCCAAAAAGTTATATATCTTCAATTGTAACATCAGGCGGTTGAACAGAAGGGCCTGGAGCATCTTGGCATGCCATAAATTGGTGGAAATATCTGTTAGTTTCTTGTAACAAGATTTGGAATATTTGTTGGAAAAACAGAATGAAAATGGAAAAAGGAGATGACTGCATTTATATTGGGAGCAGCTGATCTGTTGATTCCACTCGGAGGACCAGTGAAGTCTAGTACCTTCGGCGAATCCCTGGGTCTTCTATCACGAAACCTAATTTCTGTTTCCTCTGCCTCGTTGTCTGATGATGATGATGACAACAACAACAACATATTTGCTCGAGGTTGAATGGAATCATTGATATCTTCTAACTCTTCTTCAGATTCCTCTTCCATCAATATTTCCTCCAGTTCTTCTGCATCGAGAAGTTTGGAATATCGGGCACGTTTTTGAGGTTCCATCTTGGGGGAGGGGGCATTTCCAGCAAAATCGAATAAATTATGTTGATTGACAAAAACTCGCAAAATAGTGATGCAAAGTAACTGTAATAGTATGGTACAATAGGCCAGAAGTGGCAGCAGTACAAGGGACTTAGTCCCACCCCACTAGCAATAAAAAATAATAATTGTAATAGTACTTGAAAAGGTGCCAGTCCGACTCTGATATGGAAAGTCACAGTGACGAAGATACCTTTTACTCACAAAGTAATACTGGCTCAGTGGGTTTATACCTCTTCTGAGACACAAAATAATATAAAAAGAAATATATGACAGTCTGACACTAACTTTTTAAGTGAAAAAGAAATATTACACAATCCAACACTGACTTCCTAACTGATAATTCGCCACTGAAAACCAATCCTTGAATATGTCACACTTCCTTGAAAGCTCTGGAAGCACTGATCTGCAAGCACCGACAAATATTTCCTCTTCAGTTCTCAGAACAAAGCTGGGCTATATTAGGCTGATCAGGTCATAAACAGTCATGTATAAACATAAATAGTTTCAAAACCAGGACCGAGATAAACGATTTCTTTGTTCAGAGCTGAGGAATGAACCACTGACATGACCTCACGTAGGTTTGTTTTTGTTTCAAACCCAAGGTCAAACTGTCAGCACTCCCAAAGAGTGCACGTGTCCTGCGTCACATATATGTGCCATTCGGCCAACTCCGGTTGCTGCTTGCGTCATATATGTCATTCGGACGTTAAAGGTTAACACAGATGGGGAAATAATGTTAAACGGATCTGAGTGAAATGGGATGTAATGGGGTGGACCGTATTCAACCAGGGTATGTCATCTGTTGTGTAGGCAACCTTGCAGAAAAAAAAAATCTACATACTTCTGTGTTTCCCATCAGTGTACAAATACCAGAAACAAGTTGAAAACAGAATCTACTAACTTTCTGATGATGACATAACAGTCTACATGACTAACCGATGAAGCTACACCCTTATTCTCATAGCGCATGGAGGACAGTCATGGTCCTATGATAGACTCTGCGAACACAGTAATGATTCCTCGGTCTTGTAAAAGCAACAGATATTTACATCAGCTGAGAGTGCATGATGAAATGAAGTTAGTTCCTGCTAACCTGATGCTATAACATTTGCAAAAAAGCTTCCAGGCTGTTCTGTAATAATTAAATAATGATACATGAAGACTTTTCTGTCCAAGACAAAGAAGAAAGAGTTGAAAATCAAACATTCATTGCGCAGTTGTGCTATGCCCTAATGGTTGGATAGCTTGGTGCCTGCACCAGCTAGTCACCAACTAGCAACATACACTGAGATAAATATTGTTATGAACACATGTGCCATGCAGTCTACCTGGTAGATATTTTGTTCAGATTATCAGTGTTCAGCTTGCATGATGACTAGTGAACCATGTCTAAAATATCCTTGGGGTGTTTCATCATCAGATAATGATGCAGACTGTTACATCACTATTAGAAAGTTACTATACCCTATTTTCAATATACAATGAGAACCAAAATTGCCATACCAGTGTTCTGCTGAACACATATGAATGTTCTCCCATAAGGCTGCCTATTTAATGTATGGGTACCCTCAAAGATGTTTCAGACAGACAACAGTATTTAAAAGAATAACATCTTGTGGAACTCTTCCTTCTGTGTATAGAAAACTATTTTCTTTGTTGTCATAATGTTCACAAATTGTCTCTCTCCCATTTCTTCTTTTTAATTTACTGATTATTAATGATGCAAGACATACTGAGGCTTCTGTAGTCATTACTTAGCAGCTTCTGTCAGGAAACAAAATGAAACTTCTAAGTCCTGCATGGGGCAATTTGAGTTTCTTGCACTCCTGCTAGAGAGTGTGAGAATAACTGACGTAGAAACTACCTTCCTGCTATGAACATAACACAATATGAAGTAGCTGAAAGCAAGATCAGTTTACAGACAACTTGTGTCACTGATCCAGTCAGCTCTTTGCTGACAGAAGGGTTTATTCATTCATTCATCAGTAATCTGTCAGACGACAGGTCCATAGTCTCTTCCAAAACAGTTCCTCCACTTAATGCGATCTCAAGCTTTCTCCTTCAATTAAAATATCCTCTTCTGTCCCCAAGGTCATACAACATCTTCTTCTGTCTTCTGGGCACTTCTATCCGCCCCTCTGGTTTGTTTTGTCTCCAGAGGCATACATGGTATCTCTGTTTTTGGAAAGAGACTATCCAGGAAAAGTGATAATGTGGTAGTTTTTCCATTTGCTTTCCACATCGCACTACAACAGCCGTTCAAACCACTCTGGTCATGCCTGCTGCTATATGAACTTGAACCATCTTGAGCATCATTTGCTCTGTGCTTCAAGTCGCTGCTGATGATGCTGCTTCCAGCATCAGTTTAGAAGCGTTTATATGGAATCAGATATACATATCAAATTTTGGAGGTCAAAAATCAGGTATGTGTGGGCCTTAAATTCTGTAGATTGAACTGAGAAAAAAATTTCAATCTGGAATAAAATGTTGATTTTCCACATAACAGCCTTGCTTTGTACAGCAGCGTGAATATTACCTGACCCGTCATTATTATAATGGCTGGCAATGCTAGCATGAATCAACCTGCCAATGAAATCTGTTCCTCTATGCCTCTTTCTTCCAAAAGGACATAGCCCTACAATTTATTTTTTAAATACACTAAATTATGAATTTTCATTGAAAAAAGTGGGTAGTTTACAAATAGTGATATAGTTGGAGAGGGGTGTGGTGGTTCTAGAGAGTCTCATTCCAATTCTCAAAATTTTCCGAAGTTCTCACCTTCAACTGGAAAAGTAATTTTTATACACCTATTATATGTACGTGTACATGTAAAACCCTTCAGACTGACTTTATGGTGGGCTGCAACAATATACCTGAACCGCTAGCCAATTACAGGAGCAGTCACACTCTTTGTAAAGGTCATGGTTGTGAACATCTCATCAATATTTAAGAATCTAAAGAGGTAAAAAGGTGGATAGACACAAATAATACTGGCCATGTTTATCTGTGTTAACAACTGAACAGTAATACTATTTTACTTCTGTCTATATTATCATGAATCAATGGAAGTTTCCCTATCAAATTCCTATATACAGACTCAATCTTCATTAAACTCACTGGTGTCTGCATGCTCCGGAAGTCAGACACTTTCTTCCTGAGATCCATGTTGCTCTTCTCTAAGTGATCTCTTTCTGCTCTTAGCACCTCTATCTCCTCTCGATATTCATCCAACCTGGAAAACAGAAGATACTGTAGCATACAGACCAATTACTAGGTAGTGACTGTGAAACAAACAGGTTCCCATGGCAATAAGGTCATGCGCAACAATAAAGGAACTGATGTAAACATTGTTTTATATGCGGTCTGTGCCAATAGGTTATATAACGAGGACACCAGCTGAGGAGTAGTCAGTTGTAAGTCAGTCTGTGAAGTGACGACTAAGAGGTTGGTGTGAGATGGCCACCAGCCTGGGAATTAGTCAATTGGAGTGAGAGTTTAGTTGTGGGATATTCGCTGGACAGTAATGACATGAGCCCAGAAGCTGAAGAATCTCTGTTGTTAAAATCTGTTACTGGGAACTGACTACTGGAAGCATGTGCTGTAGTGATTTGTAAAGTCGAGAGATTAGCAATAGTGTTATGGTTATTTGCAGTTATGATCTGAAATTGATCAATAAATCCAGTCACTCTAACATGTGACAATATGAATTAGATCACATTACCATGTTTAAGCACTTATCAGATGAATGGGAGGGCATGTCCTCATCGTAACAAGGCCCATAGGGACAGACAAAACAGAAATCCACAGCTGAACTTTAACTAAAAGGAATTGGAATTGTGGCAGTGTAGTTTGATATAAGTACACTGGTGTTCTCCTGAAAAACTGAGCAGTTTCTACTGGACTACAAAGCATCATTTCCTAGAAGACAGCACTCTTTGTGGTAGCCAATGTGGAAATCCCAAATTGAACTTTCTTTAACCTTATCAGGGTATAGATGCAAATATATGTGGACCTTCATTAGGTGGTGTAATTACTTACCACATAAAAATTTAAACTTTCTCTTCTCCTGGGGCACGAGGTAGCATAGTTGGTTGAGGCACTATGCTACAAGCTGGAAGGTTCTAGTCCCAATGAATTAATTGGATTTTTTCAATTGACCTAATCTTTCTGGCCGCACTGTGGCCTTGGGGTCGACTCAGCCTCTAACAGAAATAAGTACCAGGAATATCCTTGAAATGTTCTTGGGGGTAAAGGGCGACCAGTGCGTAAGGCTGACCTCATCGCCATCTATGAGCCGACTGTCTATAAAATGTGGGAGCCTCAACATCTCACAACATTATGGGCCTCCATGGCCTGTTACAGGGATACCTTTACTTTTACTCTCTTCTCCTGAGTTGCACTGGAAAAAAAAAATCCAAGCTAAGAGACAGCAGAGATTGCAGAAAACAGGTCACAGCTGCCTAGGAACGATGTGTTATGATGGAAGTGCTTGAAAAATGCCCCCATCTTTTATAAGATTTCTGCATATGTGCAATATTAACATATTGGTGATGGTGGTGTTTCCTTCCCATTAGTGTTGTAGAATGATTCCACTGCAATCAGTATTAAAGATTGAGTAGGGGAACAGAGTTTAATGACAAGTAAAGGGAATAGTGCCATCAATCCCGCAAACACAGAGGCCCAAAAAATGTATACACACTGTTCTGCCGCAATTCTCTTTCACTTTCCTGCCATTCAATAAGGTGCTGCTGGCATTTATGTGACTAGCACCATCTTTTGTGAGAATATCACACTACATGCCATACATTACATTTTGGTCCAACTTTGTGGCTGTGTCCACTTGTATTAAAGTGAATGTAAGTGGTCCGACAATAAAGTTCGTGAACTTGTTGCAGTAATTGCTTAATATCACTATGCTCACCTTCAAAGTACTCACCTTAGGAAGCTATGCACAGATGACAGCGCCTAGTCCCCCCTTCAAAATAATTTTGGAACTGACTTTGTGGAATGGCCTTCAGAGCTGCTCTTGTATTACTCCTGATGTCATCAATGTCATCAAAATGCCTTCCTTTCAATATTTCCTTTATCTTCAAGAACAGGAAAAAAGCCACTGGGGGGCTAGATCCTCTGAATAGGGAGGGTGTTCTAGCACAATTATTTGTTTACTAGGTAAAAACTCCCTCACAGACAGTGCTTTAATTCAAGCTCTGATATTCCTGAGACTGCACACCAAAACACACTCAGACAATAACAAATGCCACTCAGAAAGAGACTGCCATAGATCAATAACAACAAAGTTGTCAAACCATACCATACTGAGGTTTCTGTCCACTGCTGCCACAGCAAGCACAAGGTGGCGAGTTCACGAACTTTATTGTCACCTCGTATATTTTTTTGGGCCCTTTCGTATAAAGAGGGGAAAAGCAGTGTAGTAAATAAAATATTTCTGATGTTAAATAGCTGATTTTGAAACCAATTTAAGGTCATCAAATAATAAAATCGAAGACACAATCCTGCAGACGATGAGTCAAAGTCTGAAAATTTTTCCATAATAGGTTTTGGTATTGGTCACATAAATTTCTTTATGCTTTACTTAATGAGTCTGCCAATAAATTGGACTATATAGCATCAAAGGGCCAACTTGCTCAGTAGTGGCAAGATGCCTTTGGGTTATACTGGTATTACTAAGAGAGTCAGCCTCCAGAGATGCCATGGTGTGCCTTTATACTCACTGCTTAAGCTGATCCTTCAGGTGACTAATAATTATCTGCTGTGTGCTGAGTTGGCCCTGAAGGTCAGCAATGCGAGAATTGGAATGTCGCGCCATGTGATCCGAGATGAGACGGCCCATTTCTGCTTCGTGCTGCTTTTGCAGCAAGTTCAGCTGCAACAGACATAATGACATGTGGTTAAAACAGTGTTAAAGGAAAATGCACCAGATGAAAGTAAGCGGTCAGCCTTATACTCCAGCTGCTTACCCCTGGGAAAAACCCCTATTATTCACTGGACAGGAGCCTGGGTGAGCTTGGATCCAGACTGGGCAAGATGAAGAGAAAAATACCCCCAACCAGGAAGCAAACCCCAATTGTCCAATTTACAAACTAAGCACTTTACTGGATGTGCTTATCACTGGCTCATGAGGTTCACACAGATAATGTAAATGCACAGCACTCAATTCAGTACACTCCGATACAGTACAGCAGGGTGAAGTACTATTCTGTCACTAATGTAGACTGAGAAAAACTATGAAAAACCTTAGTCAGGACTGGCAGTAATCTAGTCAAGATTCAACCTGGCCATTTCACAAACGCAGGTCTGGAGAAGAACTATGACACATTTCACAGTAGGCTAGAAAACACAAGATGTATGTACTCCTTTTACCTGCTGTGGAGGTGGGTTAGAATACCTCCATCATAGCCCTGCGAGTCATAGAAGGCAACAAAAGGGAACCCAGTGCCTGGGGGACATAGATACAGAGACCTAGTCCTCCAGGTTGGGGTTGGACTCAAGGCTGACAAACTTGTTCTATAAAAAAGTTACTGTTGCAAAATCCAAAGAAGGGAGAACAGGATGCAATCTGGCACAATCTTCTAAGGAAGGCTATGGCTCAAAAAGGACTATTTTGCCAATGGTGATCATGATGTATTCCTTTTATTTATATACTTATAGTTTATTTAGCAATGCTGTCAGTAGCTCAGACTATACAGTGTCACATTATATGAAAATTATAGGATAATGAATTGGAAAGGATGAAGAAAGAAGTGAGTGTGGTCTAATTTGAGTTTCTATGTTTCCCTGGAAACACTGAAAAAACAACAAATAACCTCAGTCACACTAGTCAATGTCTTGGCAAAGATTTGAAACAAGCAACTCCTGCATACAAGTCAAACCACTGCCACTTGAGCTAACTTGCTCAGTAAGTTATATATGTGAATATTCTTCTGAAGTGTAGTATGTTTACAGTAAGAGCTCAAAAACAGTATTTGGAAATGTTATAGTCTGTATTCAGTAGTGCAGAGACTGGAACTGGTACTCACATCTTGCAGACGTTTTGTCTGGAGACTACGGTAATCTTCCTCAAGACGCAACAGCTCCTCTCGCAACATACCATTCTCTTGCTCCAGTCTCTCTACACCTTCCTTCTGACCAGGAATGGATGGCTCAAACTGCGCTGGGTCATACACTTTATTTCCTGACCACTGACTGGTTTCACTCACTTGTTCTTGCTTTGCTGCCCCTACAACATGTCAAGGTCAGATTTTCTAGGGTGATGCTAGAGCAATGAATGAAGAATTTGCAAGATTTCAAGACTCAAGAGAACAAGAATTTTTTCTACTACACCGAATTTTTCTCCATAGTAGTCACAATCCTAATGCTAGCTACTTTTCACATTGTACTGAGGTATACTACTTAACCCTTTGACATCAGATTATTTTTAATAAAAATTGTGATAAATCACTGTATTTAAAGAAAATCAGTTTTAGGGCCATGTCCTTTATCACCACAGGCAGAAATTGGGAGGGACAGAGGGGGAAAAAAAAAGAGATTTTGTTGACAAGTAGATTCTTGTACACTGGACAATTTGCATGCTACTGCATGAAGCAAAAGCAATTATCTGAAAATTCTCAGTCTGAGACCTAGAAATCAATGTCCATACCAACGGCTAGTTTTTATTCAGTCCCAGTTTTGATCTCTGGCAGTGTTACTGATGTTTCAGAGTTACATGCTGCTCCACTTTTCAGGCCAAACAGAGAGTAGTGTGGGTGAGTGTTAATGTATATATATTGTGACATGTCGCGCTAGCTGGATGCCCTCCCCCCTGGGAGCTGACGCGCTGAGCGGAGCCGAAGTTAGCCGAGTCCCAGCATCCTGGTAGCTATGCAACGCGAGTCAACAGCGGTGACATCACCAAGGGATACCGCGGTTGCTAGGCAGCAGTAAACAACTCCGGACAGCATTGCTAGCAACATGGCACCAGACAACAATGATGCCTATTACGTGGCCGTATTCTGTGTTGTCCGGAACGAGGCTACATAAGGAGCAGCGAAGGCTATTCACAGTCAGTTCTCAAGGCAGCTACCTACGAGTTAGTTCCGATTTAGTTCTGAGCAAGCGTACGAGTCAGAGTGTGTGATCAACAGTTCTCCATTTAGCCAGCGGAGAGTGACAAGTTAGCCAGCAAGCAGTCAGTTGTATTCTGGCGTTTGCAGTGTAGTATTTGTGATACTGCAGATAGCAGTAATTGTGGATCTGTAAATTGTGTGATTGTAAGAGTGAATGTGAAATAAAATTCGCTATATCAAACAAGGCGTGAAGTTATTTGTCGCGTTATATACACCAACACATGATAATATGTTTCTGGTGGTTCCTTATGGTGATCTGGTGTATTCATGGCCATGAAAAGAGCAATTCAATAATTTTCTCTGTCCACTGTCCCTGTTGGTCTGGAATGGGCACTAGTCCCACCTTCTCCCCTGTAGGTCTGTTGGAACAAATACCTATAATATGCACGAACACTCATCCACTCTGCTGACTTCTACACTGAGGATGGAGACAGCATGCAGTATGTCTAAAATGTCAGCAACAGTATCCACATTCACATGGTGCAAAGCCCCATGAGCAGAATAAAAATCTCTAAAACACCTAAACTGCATCTCTGCAGACTTCCTGTGGTAATACACTAATTAACTGTTACCCTGTTACAAACGGGTATCGCATGAAACAGAATTATAGAAACTTCCTTGCTTGGTGACCAATAGGAGGCCTGCATTTTGCTGATATGTAACCAATATCTGTTTACATTCTCTCCACAATCATTATGAAATGTATGTAACAATGCACCTGACTTCGGTGGGATGTAGAAGGTATTTTAGCTTCTTGTCCCTTTGAACAAAGACACAATGCTTTCGAATCCACAGCCAGTGAAAGCAGTAAAAAATAAGCTTACATTCTTTCACAATAGGTTACATACATTTTTGCATGCTGTACAATTTGCAGCAGGCTCTACAAATAAAAGTACTTGGGGGAAGGGGGTTGGCATGTAGGTCCGGGTCAAAATAAACAGTCATAAATTATTGGGCCATTCTTGTCCTTCCTGTCTGTAACCTACTGATAGCTTTGCCATTTTAAACTCAGAACTGAAAGACAAACAGCTCAGAAAATACACACAGTTTCAGAGGCTGAGGATCTTGTCTCAATTTCTTCATGTTAATATTGTGACATGTTGCACAATGGAGGTTTTCATACTAAGTGCCAAGGTTGCGTTACAGAATTCAGAAAAATACTGTGGTACCACTGTGCCTCCACTGCAGCCTGAGTCTTTAAAGGAACAGAATTTACAGGGATGGAAAGATACCAGACGGAAGTTTCATGCTGGCTACAAAAGGCTGCATGACAAAAGGGCAATATATCTGAATATATTTACCTTAGTGTCCAACTTCTTTCTGCCTGGCTTCTATAAATTTTGGCTGCTCCTAGGAGTTTCAGACATTTTTCCATCCCTGAGAATGAATGAGTGTGATTACCCTTTAGGATTTCAGTAACCTAGTTGTTCATCCTTACTATTAAAGCACACCGTCAATAATGCAACAATAATTTTTAAATATAAAAGACATCTAAAATATGTTTCTCACTAAAAGTGTAATTTTTATACTTTACGATGTTGTTTAAATCATAAAATGTCATTAAGACACTAAAAGTATAACCTATACACTAAAAGTGATTATCATATTATTAAAATGTCTCTAGTTTTACATATATATGTTTCTTCTCAAATTTACAACATGTTTTGACCGCATATGGGCCATAATCAGACAATTTTTTTTTGTTTTTGGGGAGACCACTGCACTGTTCACTTGTCTATCGTGCTCCCATGCACATTGTTTTGTTGTTTATTTCATGACTAGAATGCTGTCATTGTATTCTTTTGCAGCTATCACAGTTTTTGTGTGTTGTATTTCTCCTGTATATTTGTGCGGTCTTCCTGTATACACTGCAGTGGTCTCCCCAGAAACAAAGAAATTGCCTGATGATGGCCCATATGCAGCTGAAACACGTAAATTGAGCAGAAACATATGTATGTAAAACTACAGACATTTTAATAATATGATAATCACTTTTAGTGTCTTAATGACATTTATGATTTTTAATAACATTGTTGAGTATTAAAGTTACACTTTTAGTGAGAAACATATTTTATATGTGCTTTATATTTTAAAATTATTGTTGCATTATTGATGGTGTGCTTTAACAGTAAGGATAATACCTCAATGCAACAGGATGCTGAAATATAATACTAGTCATTCAGTTTTGATAAGTGGGTGCTACAATAAAATTACTACACATTTCATCCAAGTGCTTACTTCACTGAAAACCCTATTGTATATTTATCTCTTCACTTGGGTGTGTGTGTGTGTGTGTTATTTTATGATGCTGTAAGTATCTAAGACAAATGGCATTGAAGAGTTCTACCCGGTGGAATATACTGCAGTGCAGTCTGCTGAAAAGCAACCAGTGTTTTGAAGGAATAATCAATTTCTTGCTTGGCTTATTCCTTGACCTTGGAGATGGAGGCACTTGCTACAAAATGTCGGTTGACTTTCAATGGACTAAAAGGTACTATACATAGGTCAGATAAAAAGTAGTGGCAACGCCTCTATAGTTATGAAATGACTTTATTACCTGAGGTAAACACACTTACATTCCTTCAATATAATTGCCCCCCATGTGTACCACCTTCTGCAGATTTGTGGAAGGCGTCGTACACCATCAGCGCATCCACTTCTGTTGATGTCCAGCAGTGACCGCCCTACAGCACGAATAATCTCCTCTCTTGTGTTGTAACGTGTCCCTCGCAGTGGTTCTTTCATTTTGGTAAAGAGATCATAATCACACGGACTCATATCAGGTGAGTATGGCGGATGTTGCAGTATCTCCCATCGC